AGACACTTCCACAGAGAAGTGGACTTGTATTTTTAACAGTACTTTATACCCTCACTATCGATCACCCAATGCACCTTAATATTTGCTAATTAAATAACATGCCTTTGGGCTGTGGGAGGAAACCAGCATACTCCGAGCGAGCAGGAGCAGCCGCTCCTTACACCAACAGCAGGAGTTTGTTGCAGATGACAGTAGAATATTTTGGGGTTCTGCAAACTCCTGGCAGAATCCCAGTCAGAGGTCAAACCAGTGCACCTGCCCTGGAAATCCACTGGTTGCCAGATCAGTGGTTTCCCCTGAGCTAACCTTGAGTTCAGGTTTTTGGTTACATTTGAGGCACAAACAACAAACATGAAGGTTTTTACTGCCTCTTGAACAGCGTTTCTTTAATATAAGCTGACATAAAGACTCTGTCATAGAGGACGACATGAACCGTTTACAGCTTGAAGCTGAGGAGTCTCCAACTCTGCTTTCATCTGTTACCAGATATTAATAAATCCAGATGGAAGACATTGTTTAACTACAGCGTAGGTGTTAAATGTTCAGGGAATTGATATCCTATCAAACTGAATTGATTTCATTTGAGTGTCTTGACTAAAATCTAATTTAGTTTCAATCATAATTTAGAAACGTACATTTATTTAGTTTTAGTCGACTAAATATAGTTGATGAAATCTAAAGTTTACTCAGTCGTTTGTGTTTTTACTGCTCAGCTCCACAGTTTACAGAGCGTCTCGTTTTCCTTCACCTGAGGCGTCTCTGCTCGTCTCTTCCTTCTAACCACTTTGTTGCTTATTTCTCATGAAAATACAAATGTCAGAGGTCACCGCCCACACAGGATTACTTCTGACTGAATCATTTCCATATTCGTCCTGCCATTCTACACAACTTAAGTTGTTCTAATTTGATCTCATCTATCCGTAATATTTTAATCTTATTTTTATTCACTGACAAAAGCGTGTCATTAGTTTTTAACTCGGTTATCGTCTTTTTGTTAGGGGAAGGAGAGAAAAGAAAGATGACCCGACCTTAGCTTTGAGGAAAGATGGGTATCTGCTGAAGGCTCTGGCCAGTATGTCATCGTTAACCTCGTTACCAAGATCACCACAGAAAATACGGAAGTCATCTGCAACACGGAGACAATTCTGCTGATGTTACACATGAAAAACTAAAATCACCATGGCTACTGAAACACACTTATTTACTTTAGCTGCATTCAACTGATGTAAAAACATCACTCTGCCAAAAATAAACTGAAAAAACAAACAAACACTCTGAGCTTTCTCTGTTCTGTTATCACTGTGAGTGAAGTTGGTGGAGCTGCACCTGATTCCCATTCCAGCAGACTCTGGTCCTCCCAGGTCGTCCCTGCTGCTGTGCGGATACACTTCTTCACCTTCTCCGATTTTGCCTTTTTCTTGTCCTCAGTAGTCGTTTCCACATGCTGACACACACACACACACACACACACACACACACACACACTCTTTAACTTTGGGTAGAAACTGCTGTTGTCAAGCATCATCTGGACACTAGGACAGTCAGCAGCATTAAAAATGATATATTCTAATAATCTGATATATGCTGCTGATAAACCATCAACAAAAATAAAAAAATCGTTAAATATTTTACTTTACATTTAATGAATATATGAAAGTTTACCTTTTTGAATAAAATTATTAAAAAACAGACATTTACTTTTCCACACTATCCAGTCTGAGACGAGCACTCAGTCATCACTGTTAATGCAGCGGCAGCTCCAGAGGGCCATAACAATAAACTAATGCTGTGCTATGTGGGTAGCTAGCATTATCGCTAACAGCCTGCTGTTCAGCAAAGCACGGTCCTGTTAAATAACAGCTAGTATCCAGGTGTTTGGAAAATTTGTTTTGCTTTGATAATTAGCAAATATTTGACTTCTCATATGCTGTAATATTCAAAATATTTTCATTGAAATGTATTCTGATTGTATGCATTTTGATTTTAGATGAATACTTACCTTATAAACATTGTTTTTTATATTGTTTACCATTCTATGTTAATTGTTTATCATTTGTAACAGCACCTAAAACACTAAAATGTAAGTTTAAAAACAAAAGAAATTCCCAAATCTGTGACAGATACTGATTTACACATTATTTAATATAAATATCTCATTTGTAAACGTGCAAATTCATAAATGTCATCACATATTGGTTGGGTCACGATGTTAGATGTTGAAGGCAATTAGCTGTAGAATAATATTTATAATTCTACGCCCACAGCACTAAACTTTATAAGTTTTCCATTCACCAGTATTTTAAAAATGCATATAACACCTGAAACAGCGGTGCGTGCAGTGTTACTGCCCAGCACGTCGCCTGCTGTGTGGCTTCACAGTCTAAATATTTAACGCTCCTCGTTACAAAGTAAAGAGCAAAGTGTTTTGCAGAAATCCACCTCAGGTTGGGGGGGTTCAGGCTCCGGCATACTGGGTCCAATCACCGCGCCGCTGTCCTCGCTCTCCTTCTTGCTGAGCAGACCTGCAGCCATCACTGCCGCCTGCTGCTCGGCCACCCGCGCTGCCAGTTCTTCCTGCAACACCCAGATCACAAGGCCTCAGAAACTACAAGTTCTGTACATCTGAAAGAATCCAGCGTAAAACAAACGTGTGTTTCATGCACGGATCAAAATACCATTCGGGCCTGTCTCTGAGCGTGAACTTCATTTCTTTTTAGTCCAACATGGGCAGGAGGAGCAACGTACACAGTTGGTGCTGCCTGGATGATTGACGGTGTTGGTTTGACAGGAAGTGGGGCTACTTGTCGTGTAGGTGGGCCTGACACCATCGAAACCATATCACCAACCTGAAAGAGACAAATTTGGACGAGAGGGTTCGAGGTGACGCTCGTCCATTTTACATGATCTCAGTAAGACATGAAGCCTTCTGCACACACAGACTCATGTTTGTGAACCTGAGGTGGAGCAGCCATGGGCTGGATGGGCTGAGAAGGTCCCTGAGGCATTGGGCCCTGCAGGGAAGGAGGGAGCATCATGGGTGGAGGTGGAGGAGGTCGTGGCAAAGGAGGTGCTACTGGAGGACCACGCATCATCTGTAGCCTCTGACCACCTGACAACACAGAGTCCAACCCACAATCATGTTCAGCTGGGACAAAC